CCCTTTCTATTCATATTACGTGCACAAATAATAATAATGCCATCTTTAGTACATTTTTAAAATTGAATAAACTGCTCTCACGTTTTGATTAGCAATGCTTCAATTTAGAAAACCCGACGCAACTCTCTCGTAGTGAAGAATATGGTCGATAGATGGCGTCGGGAATAGTTTTATCCTCAATACAAATATTAGGTACCATTTTTATTAGATTAATCAATCACCTCTACTTCATATACGCACCATCATCATCAGCCTACTAATGTCCTGATTGCTGGGGCACAGGCCTTCCCTATGGATAAAATAGAATAGGGAGAGAAGGCCATGACGTACCACGCGGGCCCAATGTGAATAAGTGGATGATATTGATAACGATTAACGACTACAAAAGCAATAGAGAGCAAACGCGTCTTCCATACCAAAGGAAGTTGAGATGTGATGGGTTTGATGCTTGGGCAAATAATAAAAGGCTGACTAGCTTGAGAATGGATTTATTAAAGGTATAAAGGATAAAGTAAAGAAACTGTAACAAACAAAAAATGAATATAAAAACAGTTCGTAAGTTACCTAAATATAAAATTAAAATTACCAAATAAAACGAATACATACCCTTTTTTTGGGTTTCTTGATAAAAACTTGAATCGTCCAAGTTACAGAATACACTTTTACTATATTATATAATTTCTATTTTAATAACTCATTAATTATAATTGACAATAATTAATAAAATGTTTAATTTTATATGATTTATAATATATGTGATTTACGTGCTTACAACAGATTATTTTTTTACGAACTGACATACATAAAGAATATATTTGATTAGTCAAAATTTCAAATTACGAAAGGTGAATAATAAAAAGAAATTTTATGGAATATCAAAGACAAAAAGTTTGCATGCTGAAACCTAGGACGAAATAAGCGGCGGTACGGCACACCGTTACAGAGATAACCATTTTTTGGTGACACATCCCATGAAAGGCTTTTGCGGAAGTTACTAAATTACTTAACTTACGCATCGCAAACACGTTAACCGCTGCGCCATTACATTTAACGATTAATCGTTGCATCCAACAGTAGATAAATATAAAGAAAAACATTCTACTCGTGCTTTATATTTTTTATGGTAGGTACTTGTTTCATTTTAATGTGCCTAATAAATTCCGTTTTACAGTCACGCCTTATCCTTGAATAAAGATATTTTTTTACATTTCACATTATAACTGAATCCATATTTTTGTGGCATTACATCTGAATATCTTTTGTGAGTGCTAGCATCATCAGTGGAATAATGTTATTACAAATCTTAGTGCTTGTCGCCGGTATTTGGACCTTAATTGTTTGGTATAAGAATGCAGACAAAAGAAGACTTTATAATCAATTTAAAAATGATCTTATATGGTTACCATTCATTGGTCACGCTTGGTATATGAATGGCTCTGACAGAGGTACTGTTATTTATTAAAAATTATTTAGTTTCTAATACTACAGATATTCAATGCAAGTAGCATAAAGCATTAACCAGAATTTTTCAAACTTATTTCACGTACTGGCCACTATGAGTATCGATTATTTATTTAGCTACTTTATCTAAATATGCCTTGTGTATCATGTGAATATTTTTATTAAAAAAACTTTAAATCTATAGTATTATTGACTTGTATAAATAATTTTTTTTTCCTTTTAAGATCAAGAAGTTTTAAATAAAATCATTTTAAATAATAATCTTAATGTTTAGTTACTAATGCGGAGGCAGTCACGGCAAATATCATTTTAATTTTCGACAAAAATTGGATTTTGTACTGGACACTAGTTTCTAAATCACATCATTTATTAATACTTACCTTTTCTGTATAAAGCCACCATTGAGTAAAGGTCTTCTATTTATCCGTGAATGTATGTGCAATGACAACACAAATTCAAAATTTTCTCTACATAAATATACTTATTTAAAGTTCTTATGGACCGTCCAACATCTTTTTTTTTACTTACTACTCGTCCGAGACGTTTTTCGTCAGTGAGAATAGTTAGCGAAAAAAACTCGCCAGCTCTAATACAAGTAACGACATTTAAACAATCATGTAATAGAGATGATGACTGGGTAAAAAAAATGCCATTCTATTTAGTCCGTCAGTCAGATAATAGAAAAATATTAGATACGTATTTTTTTTTTACTTCAATTAAACAAGAAAAAGCTTAGATAACAAGCATTAAAGTTGAGGAGTGGGGGCTCGCTACGTCACAGTTGAATAGAAAACGTACTCTAACGTGACGTCATGCGAAATTTCAACTCAATGTAACGCTGTAATTTTATGATTAAAAAAAAATAAAAAAAAACGTGTTTAATATATTTTAACACTCTACCTGACGGACAAACAAACAAAAATTAGTCATCCCTATTGCAAGATCAATATTAACAATATAAATTAATTATGAGTGACAAACTGACTTTATTAGACGATAAAGTCACTGTCCTTTACAATATTAAAAAAAATACTTATTCATTTAACCCTTTGACGACCACGGGGACAACAGTGTCCTAAATAAAAAAATAAATAAGTCAGTAACGAAGAAAGTTTAACTAGATTCTGGATGTAGTTATTTATTAAGTTATCAACAGTATTAATTAATACAAGAAACGTACAAAATATAGCAATGTCATACCATAAAGTTATGATCACGGGCTACACCAATAACTTATCATACCGAAGTATAAAGATTTGATTGATTGTTTGTTCGTTTGCATTGAAAAAGCAACGAAACTATTGGACAAATTTTAAAAATTCTTTCTCCTACATACGGGAAGCTTCATCATACATCGTCCGGAACAAAGGCTTTATTTCAGTGGAGTCGTGGGTAACGGCTAACTTTAAAAACACGTTAAAATCCGAAGTACGGAGTAGCTCAAGATAATATTTTTTGGTCATCCATCCCGTCACCGACCTTTGCAAAAGTTGCTTAACAACAACGAGCGTGGGCCGCGGCGCTTATCCGTTACGCCACCGAGCTATTCTCGTACTCGTATTTGTCTCTAGTAAACTTATAAAAAAACTAATTACAATATATAATTTTAGAAGTTGGGAAAAAAAAGTTAAGCAGATTGTAAATCATTCATATCATCAAAAAGTTTAAAAAAAACGATACAACTAAAAATAAAAAAGCTTGTAGCTATTATATTACTTAAAATAAAAATAAAAAACTTGTTAAATAGTTCAGATGGAATAAATTAGTCATAAACCCGTTTAAGTTTTTGTTTAGAATCATCTCTGTGCCTTTGGTCGAGCTACACCACTATTAGAATATGTAAAATACCAGCATCAGCGGGACTTGATAACTAGCATCATAACAATACTTTGCACAAAAATGATGTTACTAGTTTTTATTTGATGACGCAGTGGTTTAGCCCGTTAGTTTGTGATGCGGATGTCAAGCAACTTTCACAAAGGCATGTCACAGGATGGTCGACCACCAGCTTATTATCTCCAGCTTGACCGTACTCCGAGAGGCATTATAACCAGATAGTCTCGGTTGCACCTACAGTTGTTAACACCCATCAATTTGCATTAGGCGTGGTAGGTCGCGGTATATTCTCTCTATTCCAGTTAATGCGAGGACATTTATGGCTGCTAATAATACCTTATTTCAAAATTTTAGATTTCATGGTGGGGTTAGAAAAGTTTGGTCGCCAAGCGCTCAAACATGGCGGATCGACAGCTGTTTGGTTGGCAACGCGGCTTTACGTGGGTAAGGTAGTTTAAAGGTGCTCGTCCATTGCTTCAGCACGCACGCATCAGCCGCACGACGCACGCAATCCGTTAAATGAATTTGTCGATGTTTATGTTCACTGCAGTCGCTTTGTCATAGATGCTGTCATGAATGTCAGTTTTAACGTCGGAATCATGCCGATGACGTCATAGGAATTTTAAATCGTGCTTGCTGACATATGGACGTTTACCATAATATTTCATCTGCTCTTGATACTTAATTGCAATTAATTTATCAAAGGCATAAATGGATTAGAAGCCTATTGCATTATATTCATTGTGTCACTATCTTCTTTTATTATTATGAAAATATCCTAAATATTATAAAAGGCAAAGATATTACGAAGCCTGTCTTCTTAACTTTGATGAACTATTCTGAATAAAACCGATTAAATTAACTTGTTAATTCAGATACAAAGACAACAAAGACTGACAAGGGTACTGAACTAAGATAAAGAATATAATTAATACTAGTAGCAAGAAACGAATAACTAACTAATTCGTACTACCAATTACTTCTAAATCCATTATTTACCCTTCAATCCGCATTGAGCCAGCGTGGAGGGTCATGGCCCATCCTCCTTAACCATCCATAAGGAAGGCCTGAGCCCCTGCAGTAGGGACGTAAAAGGGCTGATGATGATGATGGTGATGACATTATTTAGGACGATCATATCTACAAAAAAAGTATTAAAATAAGACGTAAACTATCAAACCATTTTTTATAAATGAATCTTCAAAAAACTAATACTATTCGACACATTCACAATACAAAAGAACCTGTAAAGGGTCCGAAACGTCTAAAACCATATACAAACGCGATATAACCGTTTAAAAGTTATTTCATTAATAGATAGTGCGCGTGAAAATATAAGTAATCGATTATTTATTTCAAAATTTAGTATTTTATCTAAAAAATTTGAAAGAGAAATGAATTATTTATATTTAATATTTGTACTACTTAAATTTAAATTGCTCTGTATAGTCATTGCCAATCCAGATGACTGTGACGTAGTACTCAAAACATCGTTAGAAAAGGATGTAAACACTCATGTTACCCGAAAACTTCTGGGAAACGGATCAATATTTGCACCTGGTAAGTATTAACTAATAAAAGTTAGTAATTTGACATTTATACGTGAATAATTAAAAAGATAGGTAAGGTTGTCGTTTCATTTACTAATTTATAAAAGATAGATTTTCATTTTGGCAGTATCAATTTGGCGTCGCCGAAGAAAAATGAACCTGATAAACTTCAGCCAAAAGAAGATTCAACAATTCATGAAGATTAATTCCAAACAAAGTGTGGCTCTCGTCGATCAATTGAAGCGAAAAATGGGAACAGGAGACTTATCTATGTATGATCATATCGCATATTACTCTTTCACTTCTATATGTGGTATGTACCCAACATAAGAAGTCCTTACATTAACAATTTAACTATGTATATAAAGAAGAATTTTTGCATTACGATTAAGTTGGTTGACAATTGCTATATTTTATCTTACAAATTAATAGTCCATTAATATCTGAGAAATAACGTAGAAGGCACAACATACGATGCTATGTTTGTGGAACTGCTGCTAGTCGGCCGAAAACACTTCCTTTATATTCAAGTCACTGACTAACTGACGTCGCACAGTGCTACGGAAGCAAAAAACGTATGAGCGTCTAGACAATCTTTATGTTTAGAAAATTTTTATATTTTCCCTACTTTTTATAAATTCTCAAAGCGCAATATTTACAAAATTAGTGCCATAATTTTTTTTATATTGATAACTTAAAATGGTTTATATTTTCCGACCATTTAACAGATACCTGTATTTCACTTGTAGGACATAACCCTAAACTTCGTATCTTCTATTAAACCAGGGTATATGCGAGGAGTTACATAGTTTCTTATGCTCTCAGCCTTGTTTCTACATCACTTAACATTTATCCAATGGCAATTGACTTGACTACAGAAATCAGGTTATTGTCACTGATTCTGTTGAAAAGGTATTGTTAAGTCTAGGTATTGTCACTCCAAACAAGGAGACAGTGAAATACTTCGAACTATCAATCCACAGAGACGTCATATTCTTTGTAACCCGCAGGTAGAATCAATGTTAATCATTCTAGTGATTCTACAAGTTATTAGAAGAATCTTGAATCAAAAGAAATTAAATCAAAAGTCAATAAATTTATCTTTTTCCAATGTATATTAACTTTTGTTTTTAGAAAACGCTTTTGGTGTTACATTTAACAATGAAGAAGAGATTAAACGTTTCCTGACGATGTCCGATCGTCATACTATGTTGGTGTCAGCTCGTTTGGTCCCGTGGCTGAATAACGATTTCTTGTATTCGTTCATGCCTAGTTACAATGAATTCACCACCACCGCTGAATACCTCAAAAACTTCACCAAACAGGTTTTTCTCAAAGTATTTTATGTATACCATAAGTTTTTCGTTCCGTTCACGAATTAGATAAGTTGATGTGTCGCGAAAGTTTTATTTGGCAAATTACGTGAACATTTTATTTACGTGATTTTAAATCATTTTTGTGCAAGTTAAGGTTAAGGAAACATTTTTCTTTACTTCCAACAAAAAAAAATTCCGCGACCACAATCTGCAAACAATGCTTGTTTCGGGCTGTCTCGTATACTTTTAAGTAGTATTATCTTTACTCTTCATACGAACTCCATTCCCACACACGACGTAAGCTTGAACTGTGACACAATATTAATTTGAATATTTTTCTTGTATTATACCAAAAGTCTTTGGATTTTAACAGCAATGATAATGGTGCAATAATATTTACGAATTACTGGCAAGAAATAGCTTAGATAACAAGCATTAAAGTGGGCTCGCTAGCTCACAGTTTTGTAGAAAATGTACAAAAGCGTAACGTTATGCGATATTTCGGCTCAACGTATCACCGTTATTTAATAATTACGAAAAAATATACGTATTTAATATTTTTCAACAATCCACCTGACGGATAAAGAAAATGAAAATTATCGACACCCCTATTGTTTTTGGAGAGATAAAAATAGCAAATTTAACAGAAACATGTTTTTACCTATACTTCTATGAATAACAGAGTTTTTGGTTTTAAATATTATTAATATTTTTTCATTCCAGCTAATTGCCAAAAAAATGGAAGAAAATAGCAAAATATATACACAAAGAAAAAAGAACTGTGGTGTGTATTATTTTTATCCACACGATATTCATTAAAACTTGACCTACAAATTAATTAATTTTAATCAAATTTAAAGTCGAACATTTTTGTTTAATTCTTGACAATTCGACATAAATTTGATATTACAGATATAGCAGAGGAAAATGGGTATTCGATGTTGGACACATTTATTCAGGATTCCGGTGAAAAACGAGCAAGTCATGTGGAAATCGAAGAAGAAATGTTGGCTATACTTATAAGCTCTATTGACACGACAGCAATAGTCTCATCCTTCGTTTTACTACTTCTATCACACTACCAGAATGTACAAGAAAAACTTTATAGAGAGTAAGTACCCACATGTTTATGATTAAGTAATAATAAATAATTGCTACAAAATATAAAGATGAATTGGTCGCGAGGAACGGTAATGTCAGGCCGATCGAATATGCAATGGTGAATATCAACCGATCCAGATGGTACTTGTGAGGTTAGTTAAGATCTATTTTGTCTTTATATTGCTATCCATACGTCGTCGCCAGTAGGTACCTCAGTAATAGGACGTTAATAGGATTATTATGATATCAAGCTAGAAATAGCAGGGTCACCAGAGACAAGATAATGATTCGTTTTTGTTATGGGGTTTGCCACGCGCCAAATCGATGTCCATTTGCCACCTGCAATGACGTCAAATAAACATAATTTTGTTGAAGTGACATTTTCGCTTTCAATGTTTTTTGCCACGAGGTCCTAATTTCTGATCTGGGTATTCTGCGGGTCGAAATTATTGTGGCACGAGAAGGTGACTACAATGCTATTACAGCCCACCAATACATACTAATAGTTGACATAAGTCGAAACTACTCCCGGCAGTCATTCTATCTAGCTGGCCTATTGAAAGCCTCTTCACACCTGTTTCGAAAGACCCAAGGTTATATGAAGTTGCACTCGGTGGTTGGCACTTAACATCTAAAAACTACTGAGGATGCTCCGTGTAGGGGTGAAACACGTGTAGAGTGGTGATTTTACGAGATTTGTTGCCGTTTGTACATGTAAATTTGTGTGAGGGCTGAAAACTACTCGGTATCTCCTACACCACAGTCAATATCCAGTTGATACGTGCACTCGCTGCGCCGGCTAATGATAGAGTGCCTCCACCACACCAGTGTAATACATGGACAGTACACAGCTGGTCTTGCGGATACTGACTGGGTGTGGAAATTGCTAGATATAATAGTTTCAAGGTTATATGAAGTTGGAGACACGTAGAGCGGGAGAAAGTTCCAGTTTTATATTGTACGGAAAATATAGTATTTATACTATAGACAATATAATATATTGTGTAAGGCATTATCCCGCCTCATTCGTTGCGATTCAAGATATTTAGTTAACATATCATGCGTACAGCACGTCACTGCAACCTATAAAAGGCATTCAAAAGACACTTTCCGGAGTCCGCCGGAATGTATCTTTTGAATTTCCATATATCCGATGCCACATGAATCTCCATAACCAGTGCTAAAAGCTACTTAATTAGAGATCTAAGCAATGTATGTGATGTTGTCTAATATTTATGATAAGCGACTATAATTTTTGAGTTTTGTACTACAAAAGTATTACAACACCTAAATTTGAGAAAATATATAATATTTCATTGTGCTTCGTTGACCGAACCGTGAATCACACTTTCCGTTTTCCTGACTACACTCTTTCACTCATTGACTAGCTCATAGTTTTCACGGGTTATTTATTTCTTAATCCATTTTAATGAATAACTAACTAAATTATATTTTATCCTGGAGGCACGGAGGTGCCCCCGCCAAGTCAAGAAAAAAGTAAAAAGGGCACGATCGTACCATCCTTTACTCGAAGTCATTCGGGCCATTTTTGACCCCTTATAACTTCGTTGTGGAATGAATTAGAAGCATAAATTCGACAAACGCATAGTTACAGTAAAAAATGTTACATAAAAAATCTTTCTAAGTTATTGGCTCTGTGCTTTAATGGTTTAAAAGTAATTAGGTGATTATTGGACTCATCGCCGTCTTTCATTCATTTCCTTTTCATTTTACATGTAGAAATTAATTAATTCACTTGACATTGGCACAATTTTGCGATATGCGCAAATAAGTCATTAATAAATGAAGAAGAAGGTGATTATTGGGTGTGTGTGTTTGTTAAGTATTCCCAAATCTATGGCAAGGTTGTATAGTTGCTCTCACAGAAAGATATGTACTGAATTTATGGACTAAGTTTACGTTGATTTCACAAATTTTTACGGAAGAAGAAGTACGTTGTGAGTCTTGTGCATTTTTGTCCATGTTATGTTAAAGTGAGAAATCACGAGAAACTAAAGTGTCATATGTATATTTGTTTCACAGATTAACACAATATTTTGGAGATTCAAGCAGACGGATTACACTAGAAGACTTGCCTAACCTAAAATTTCTGGATGCAGTTCTTAAAGAGAGTATGAGGCTATATCCCCCGGTACCCATTGTCATACGGCAAGTCAAAGAAAAGTATATTTTACGTGAGTAAAACATAAAGCGCATATTCTTTCAGCTTCCAAAGCATATTTCCCAAATTTACTACTATCATCTATCATTATACCGGACGATAAAGCCTGTATTATTAAATAATAATAATAGAACTATAATTAATTAATAAACAATACCACAAATATAGGTTAAGTCTATTATGAAACCGAACTCTGTAAGTTATTTATTTGTATATATGTAGGTAGGTATTTATTTATATTTTCAATTCATATTTGCGCAATTTTTAAGTATTAATTTTAACTGATTGCTTTTATTCTTATCGCCAAAAAAGAATAAATAAAAAAATTCTCAGACTCTTGTTTTATTATATATTTTTAATTAACACCTACACTATAAATTAACATCAAATTCACAACTTCAGTACGCGTTAAAAGCTTTGATAAATTTGAGTTATTTTCGTATTAATTATTTTATACAATAACATTTACGTTCAAAACATTTGTAAATATTTATTTCCAAAAATTCAAAAATAAGCTTTTCAAAAATATACCTTTCACTTGAAGTTTTAAAACTTTTCTCACTTTGAAAATTGTAAATTAAGAATTTCCGTTGACAAAATTGTTATATTTGTCAACGGAATAAAATTTATACATGAAAATAGTTAATTATATTAAAAACAATATAAATTACCCTATTCAATATTAAACTTTGACTTTTATACTATAAAATAATATTTATAAAGTACCCTATTTAGATCACTGGTCAAAATCACTTTTGATATGCTTTTATTCTACGATATTCCACAGTGCGGCGTAAGAGTATAGATAGAGATTGAGTTCTCTTATAAACTAACTATATTTTTTTAATATATTTCATCAATTTTGCGTTCACAATGCTATACTGATAAATGCTTAAAAAAAAGACACTTTGTCCCGTGCACTCTCATATTGGTCCTATTTTTCATTAACTATACTAACTCACGAGCACACATCACGTCTAGCTCTCGATAGCTGCAGCCAGACACTGACTGTGAGCCTGCCTACACGCATGCAATCAGAGTGGTAAGTGTAAGTTTTACGCTAACGCGTTCACTAGTGAGCGCGTTAAGAATTTGTATGGAGATTTGTAGTTCTTTATAGTTACCGCTAGGGGCGCTGTGCCGAATTCCATACTAAAATCTTAACGCGCTCACGATCGACAGTGAACGTAAACGTCAAAAACTTACACTAAGCGCTCTTGAGTCTCAGACCGTTACGTATTTATTGCTGCTGAATGTGTTTTGCGTGTTTTGCCTTGTGCATATTACTAATATTCATTTTATATTAATGATTTATTTCATATTTTAAATATTTGTGTGTATTATAGGTACCTGTAGGTTTTGTTAAGATTTGTGGTCGTTTTATTTATATAACTGTTTGTTCCTCGAATAAATATATAAAAAAACTATATTTATTTGTGAAAACGTTAATTAAAGTTCAATAAGTAAAGAAGTAGCTCGGTGGAGTAGTACATAAGCGCTGCGGCCCACAAACGTTTTTGTTAAGCAGCTTTTGCAAAAGTCGGTCACGGGATGGGTGATCAAAAAATGTATCTCAAACTCCTCCGTGCTTCGAAAAGCACGTTAAGTCGTTAGTCTCGGCTGCATTTGCAGTAATTAATACCCCTCTATACTCCATTCATTACAGCATTAGACAGAAGTTAAATAAGGTTCTTTTTATGGTATACTTTGTGATAAAATATCAATAATCATGTTACTCTTAAAACTGACGGCTAATTTGCTACATATCCACTTAAATACCAACTGCTATACTTAACTGTTGTCATTTAAGCTATCTATTAAACAAATTTATGAGTATTTGACCAACTTAAATGATTTAATAACTATTATAATAAAAAGTGTGCATCTTAAAGAACCTAAAGAAGCAGGGTTGGATAGTTTCGGCACGATTCTTATGTCACTATAACTCAACCAAATTTAAAACGTTGCCTCAATCCCTTCAAACGTTTCGGCAGTACAGTTTTTTAATTTTGTCAGATTATGAGGTATTCATAATTGTTAAAATACGTAATCTGGGATTGTCATCCGTTGTGAATGCTACTGCCTTTCTTGTTGTTTTGCCGTTTTCCGTGATTAAGTTGTTATTATTTTATTTTTATTTGATAATAGTTTTGTTTTTGTTGTTAAGTTTTGTTAAATATCGACGATGCTGGTGCAGGCCCGAGTAGCCTACAACAATTAAGCTTTAATCCCCCATACCTACCTTCAACCTTTGATATTTCAGGAAGTTTTCTAATGTCTTCGTCTATAATCTAACTAATGTCTGAATAAATGTTATAATAACAAATTCATTTTCTTTACCTTTCTTTCCTGGGCGTAGATATAACAAAATTCTATTCTAATTATATGCACTTACAATTAGAATTTATCAAAAAAACAGATAAATAGTTTTAGTTCCATGTTGGCTTGAGAGTGAAAGATGAATTAAGAAAATACTGGCCTCATCTCAACCCCGAGGTATCGTAAAAAATAGAAAATTGCCCAGCTTTTTCAGACTACCTAACGTTCAAAGTTTAAACAAAACGATAATATATATTTTTTAAATTCATCTTTGAAATAAAATGTTCTGCACTGCTGCTTCTATGACCCTCTTTTTTTAATGTTATAATGAATGGAGCATAGTCCGCATTGTGACATCGTGGAGGGTTATACCCAATATACCCATCCTCCTTAATCATCCATAAGGAAAGCCTACGCCCCTGTAGTGGGAACGTAACAGGGCTACTGATGAAGTATAATAACTTATTTTTACAGCTTCTGGTATAACTCTAATTCCCGGCGTCAGTGTAATTA